ATGGCAAAATGCCTGACCAAAGCAACTTGAGAAGAGTTGGTCTGGGCTCCCGGTCTGAGGGTCTGGTGAGGAAGGCCCCGGAAGGGTGATGTGGCTGGCACACTGTGCCTGTAGTTAGGAAGCAGAGAGAAATGACTGCTGCTGCTCGGCTAGCTCCTCTCTTTTTATTCAGTGTTGGGCTCTTGCTGACACTTAGGGTGGGTCTTCCCACCTCAGTTAACTTTCTCTAGAAACTCCCTCACAGACGTGCACAGAGGTCTGTCTGCTAGGTGATTCTAGAGCCAGCCATATTGACAATACTAACCATTACAATGTTCTCTGCTTTCCCCTTTCTCTCATGATAAAAAGCTGGAGTGAGGACTCAAAGGTGGCAGGTTCTATTGATCCTTTCCAATATGCCCCTTGACCTCTCCTCTCCGCAGCCTTTGAAGCCATGGACCACTTTTTGTTTAGAGTACCTCCCCTTTGATGTCCGTTTCAATCCCAGCATCTCTCTCTTTCCCTGCTGCTTGAGGGTTCAGATGTAAAATTCTCAGTTTCTTCTCCAGCACCATCTCTGATGGCCTGCTGCCATGCTTCCTGCCATGGTGATAATGGACTGAACCTCTGAAACTGTAAGCCAGCCCAATTAGATGCTTTCTTTCATAAGAGTTACCGAAGTCACGGTGTCTCTTCACAGTAAAGTACTGACTAAGACCCTTTCTTTTTTTAAATTTTTTATTTTAATTTTAAATAGCTTGTTTTACATGTCAATCCCAGTTCCCTCTCCCTTCCCTCCTCCGCACTACCCCATCCCCCCCCAGCCTCCCACCCTATTGCCAATTCCTTCCACATAGGGGATATCTAGAGTCTATCATTTCACTCAGGGTAGGGTCCAGGCACTCCCCTAAGAGTCCAGGCTGAGAGAGCATCTCTCTTTGTGCTATGGGCACATGATGACTGTTTGTATTCCAGGGATAGACACTGATCCACAGCTCAGAGCCCCATAGGTTGTCCAGGCCTTCTCACTGACACTCACATTGGGGGGGGGTCTAGATCAGTTCCATGCTGGCCTCCCCGCTGTCGGTCTGGGGTCCAAGAGCTCTCCCCTGTTCAGATCAGCTGTCTCTGCTGGTTTTGCCAGCCCATTCTTTGCCAATTTGCTCATCACTCCTCTCTCTCTGTCACTGGGTTCCTTGGGTTCAGTTCAGTGCTTAATTGTGGGTGTTTGCCTCTGCTTCCATCAGTCACTGGATGAAGGCTCCCGGATGGTTATGGACATCAAGTTCATTATCAGGAATGGGCATTCGAGGTGGTCTCTCCACTATTGCTTAGCTTGCCAATTGGTGTCATCCCTTTAGATCACTAGAGGTCACTCTGGTAAGACCCTTTCATCCTCAGACTATCATCCAAACCTCAGGCCTATAGCCTGGTACATTCAGCTCTTTCGTGAGTTTATGAGTGTCCTGGACGCAGAGGCAGTCTCTGTTACCCTCTCTAAAAATTTTTGTTTATTTTAAAAATTCTTTTGTAATTTCATACATGAATACAATGTATTTATACCATATGCACCTACTACTTACCCCACCACCTCCTCCTAGACCCCCTTCCAATTTCATTTTTCCTCCTCCTTGTCCTCCTCCTCCTCACTGAGTCTAGTTAGTTAGTACTGCCTGTATGCACATGGATACTGGTCTACTCACTTGAACTTGGGTAACCTACCTTAGACAACACTCTTGAAGAAAAATGACTCTTCCCCCAATAGCCATCAACTACCAGTAGCTCCTTGGGTAAGGGTGGGGCCTTGGGAATACCTCTCATCCGTGCTGGAATGTTGACTGGCTAGATCTTGTATTGGTCTTGTTCAGGTAAACACAGTTGCTGTGAGTTCATGAGTTCAATGACCCTGTCATGTCCAAAAGAAAGTTTCCTAGCTGTCCTCTGACTTTTGTCTCTTACTATCTTTCCAACCCTCTTCTCTGATGTTCCCTAAACGTGAGTGAAAAGGGGTGTGGCATAGTTGTCGTCAAATTTAGGATTGAGCCTATCAGTTGTTTTTCCTTCCAGTCACTCTTGGACTAAGCAGACCTGCCCACTCCCATGCTAACTTTGCATTCCATGCTGATGCCCAGTGACATCCTAACCCTTCACCACTTTCTTGATAGGCTTCAAACTTTGATGGAAGAAGCCATGGCAACTCAACTTTGGCTTATTTCTGATTTCTCACTCCCAGGATATTATCTAGTTTAAAAAGTAATTTTTAAAAAATCCCATTTTGGGGGATTGTTAAGTGAACTAATAAATCTCCTCTATTGATTTTTTTTCATCTGGGACTTCTCAAAATAATATTGACAAATCATTCATTTTACAAATAATATAGCTGTCCCTCATTTGACATGGGTTCCAAATTCTCTTGTCTAATCAATCTCAGATCAAAAATCTGGGATATGTATTGTCATTTTATATTGGGGACTTGAGTAGCACAGATTTTTGTATCTAAAAGGCAGCCTTATAACCAATCCTCAGGGGTACCAAGATGACTGCTTGTTAAAAACCTTCAAGTTGGGGTTGAGAGGTTTTATACCCAGCACTGACATGGCAGCTCACAATGGTCTGTACCTCCAGTGTCGTGGGCTCCAATGTTCTGTCTGGCCTCTACAGGCACTCTGTACACGCGGCACATAGACATACCTGCAGGCAAAACACCCATGCACATAAAATAAAATCTTTAAAAAAACATTTCAGATTGTATGAATCAATATATGCTGCAACCCCAGCACTTGAGAGGCTGAGACAATCTGGACTGAGTTTGAGGCCAGCCTGGGACATATAGCAAGATTTTTTCTAAAGGAGGAGGCAGGAGAAGGGAGAGCCGGAGGGATGGAGGAGGGGGGAGAGAAGGAGTCAAAAGAGTAAAATGTCAACAACAGAACAAGTTCAAGAAAATGCCCAAGCAAAATGGCAAAATTTAATGACAAGGATTTCTTTCTTGGAAATCTATCCTCTTAAAGTCTTCATAAATGGCAATACAAGTTACAAATGGCTCTATCTGGTTATTTCTTAATGGTTGGTCAGCAAACCTATGGTTTCTAAAAATTATTTTAATGTATGTATGTGTAAGTTTCTCTATGTGTGTGTGTGCATGAGGGCCAGAGGACAATTCTGGGTGTTATCGTCAGGAAGGCCAGTCACCTTCTGGATGTCAGTCAGCTCTCTCTGGCCTAAGCTCACCAAACAGGTCAGAATGACAGCACATGGTAGGGAGAAAAATGTAATCCAAAGACTTAGTGAAAATAATCTTGAGGCATGTTGTCGAAATGATCATCATTTTTTGTGCAGTTTTACTTGGCATCGGTGTCTCTTATTCTGTCTTTTTTTCCCAAAGAGTATTGTGGTTATATCAATTACATCAAGGAAATAATTAAAATGGGCAGCAGTTTAAACAGTTGTAGCACAAAGCAATATATGGAGGTGAAACAAATCCCCTCAGGAGACTGCATGTGTTTCTGTATGTTCCTTCATGTGTGTGCATGTATATAGAGAACAAGTGACAATTCTTTCTCTTTGTGTGTGTTTCTGTATATGTTTTCATGTATATAACTGTTCATGTGTGTACACACACGTGTGTGCATATCTATAAAGCCCAAAGGACAATTCTTTCTGTGTGTGTGTTTCTGTATGTTCCTTCATGTGTGCACATGTTTATATATGTGCACAAGTGTGTGTGTGTGTGTACACATGTATATAGAACCCAAAGAACAGCCTCAGACCTCAACCTCTGGTACTCTCCTTGCTGTTTTTCGAGACAGGGTTTTTCACTGTCCTCGAATTCACCAAGTAGTCCACTCTGGCTGCCTAGTAGCCATAGGTATCTACCTGTCTCTGCCTTTTCAGCATTTTGGTGGCCAGGTGTCACCATACACAGCCTTTTGTTTTCATGTATATTATAGAAAGTGACTCAGGTCCTCATGCTTGCAAGCAAGCATTTTCCTAACTGAGCTATCTTTACACCCCAAACAATTCTACTTAAGGTGGAAAATAATCGGGTTGGTCTGGTTGAGACAGAGTCTTGTTATGTAGCCCAGAATCAAGCTTTTCACTCAGAATGTAGCCCAGAGCAGCCTCAAACATGAAAGTTTCTGGTTTCTGCCTCCTCATACTGGGTTCACAGGATCTCTGCACCATAACCCTACCAATACCCATAGTCATACTGCCAGTATTTTAGATGGAATTGAACTAGACATTCGAACAATTTAATGGTGCAATGGCTTCTTTGTAGAAGACTTTGTAGAAGGTCTCCCCAGTCCATGGGGTGTGTGAGAGGCCACTTCCTGCTCATGCAGACATCAGATCTGGAGGGCAGTGTGGGGTGCCCGCTATGCTGGCTATTGTTTTCCTATGACGGGGAAACTAATATATCACTGGACAAACAAAACTCCATTTTCTGAGCACCTGCTATGTTCCAGGCACATTTTCTAGACCAGGGGTTGGCAAACTGTAGCCCATGGGCCAAAGATGACCATAACTGCCTTTGGGGGAGTTATGAATCTAAATTTAAGACTAGCTCTATTTATTACTAGTATTATTATCACTAGTAGTAATAGTAGTATAGATTATGTTAAAGAAAGTTGACTCTCAAATCTAATTTCTGGGCCAGAAAGAAGGCTTGTAAGGTGAAGGCTGCTGTCAAGCCTCCCAACCTGAATTCAATCCCCAAGCCAAACATGATAGGAGAAAACCAACTTCTAAAAGTTTTCCTCTGACCTCTACATACACACAGTGCCATGTGTGTCTCCACTGCCATATGTACACTAAATAAATGTAAATAAATCAATTTAATTTTCAACTTTCCTTTAAATTTTTAAAGACACATTTCGAGGCCGGGCAGTGGTGGTGCACGCCTTTAATCCCAGCACTCGGGAGGCAGAGGCAGGCGGATCTCTGTGAGTTCGAGGCCAGGCTGGACCAACAGCCTCCAAAAAAATACCGAAAAGCCCTGTCTCATAAAACCAAAAAAAAAGACACATTTCACCAAATATTAAGGCACTTGATATTAAGAAAGAGGTTCACTCTAGTGTTTGGGATCCAATGCAACTACTTTTGTTCTGAGAAATCTCTTAGCATTCTTACAAAATCCAAGACATGATCCTACTTTTTTGTCATTTTAACACACTGCTTAACAACAAGGTTTCTTATATTTTTTAAATGTTTGAGAAAAATTTCATGGTACTTTAAAGTTCCATCATATGTAGATTTCCATGTCAATAGACAAAGTACTATTAGGAACAGCCATTTCTGTCTGAGGCTGCTCTCACCTGCAGAGGCAGAACTGAGAATCAGTGACAAAGACTGTGTGACCAGTTAAACCTAAAATATGCATCATCTGGCTACTTGCAGAAAAAGTCCCTATCTCATTTTTTAAGCACTTGACATGCTGGACACAACAACATACCGTCCACCTCCAAGCAAGAGGGGCAGAGAATAAATAACATATATCATTTAAAGAAAATAGAGCAGTGTGTTCAAAGGTGGTTATCAAAACAAATAAAGGGACCAGAAACACAAGACAGGAGCATAGGGTGAAAAAGAGAGCAGGATGCAATATTGAATTTCATTTTTATGTCTTCCCAGCAATATCTAAAATCTCACTTAGGCCTACAGCAGTCATATTTTAAGTTTAAAATCAGTTTGCATGTTACAGGGAATTTACTATGGCCGTGCAGTCAAGAAAAATCTCCCGGAGGTAATATAAGGGGGAAGCTGGAATTTGTACCCAAGGAACAGCGGGTGTCTGCAGAACTGCTTTAGCATTATTAAGGGTGTACTGTGTGGGGGCGGGAATTCATACATATGAGTGCATGTATGTGCGTACCTGTGTGCGTGTGCGCTTGTGTATGCACACACATGAGGATAGAAGAGAGATCATATCAGATGGCTCATCTCTCACTGAACTGGAAGCCAGGCTGGCAAGCAAGTAAGCCCCAGGGTCCATTTGTCTTCACGATGCTAGGGTTACAGGCAACTGCAGCCTTTGCCTGACTTTTTACCTAGTCCTTCATTGGCACTTTTCCCCGGGCAGCTTAGGGTTTAATCATCTCCTCTAACCCTTCCCACCTGGGTATCTGGGCAGCTTTCAGCAACTCACAATCAAACCACCTGAGCCTATTTCCCCGCTTTGGAAAACGGAGCCAGCCGCATCCTCAACTACAGAGGGATGACATCATTTCTAATGCTACAGAAGTGCTTAAGAAACTTTTGCTTCCTTCCCTCGCTTCTAATCAAGTTCAAGCTCTTGGCTCCCAGTTAAAGATTTCCGAAAGTTCCCTTTAATCTCCTGCTAGGTTTTGAAAAGCCCTAGCCAATCTAGACAGCACAAACGGCAAATGACCAGAAGAAGTGTTCGGTGCCAAGATCTCCACTTCCTTACCCAGCCCCTGCCCACAAAGGCACCGGCCTCCCCGTGTGTTCCTGCTAGAGCTTTTATTGCGCATGCTTCTGTTTTATACCTCTCTGCCACTCTCTTCTCCACTGCCACCAGTGTGACTCTCTCTGCTGACGCCCCGTAAATCCTTAAGTGCTTCCATGATGCTGTGACTTGAGTCATCCTTAGTGGTTTCTGGGACATAAAAATGGCCACACTAAACGTCAGAAGCAAAACTGTATTTCCTTTGATAAACTGTACTAATAAATACTTCTCTTCCCCCACCCCTTCCTAGGGTCAAAAGAATGGACAATAAATTCAGAGTTGTGTTCTCTTTAATATGTGGTCATTATTTTGAAATATTTACCAAGTAATTGTGTTCTTTAAACTCCCCCCTTTTATATTCTTATGAAACAAAATGGAAACAACTATATTTTGGTCCTTCCATTAACATTTTAAAATATATGTATTATGATGCAGAAATTGAAATATTATTGTTACCATATAAATATGAAAATCTACAGTATAAATTTATAGCCAACGAGTGGTTTGTTTTTATTTATATTATTCCACAAGTGGAGTTTCATTTGATGACAATCCCATATCGTACAAATTAAGCGACATTTCCCTCAATCTTTTTTGATTGCCACCATCATCGTGACTCTAAATCTTCAAGACATAAAACATAGAAGTGTGGCCTGCAGGGGGACATCATACTCCCACCAGCACCTGTCCCCCCATTCTTGATTTGGGCTCTAATAACAATCTACTTACAACCTATAGTGTGTGTGAGGCCTGGGTTTGACCTCTAGCACTCCATAAAAAGTAGGTGTGGTGGTGACACCTATAATTCCAGCACTTGCAGGGAGAGGCAGGAATTTAAGGCCATCTATGTCACAGAGTGAGTCTGAGGTTAGCCTGAGCTACATGAGCCACTGTTTTAAAACTCTTATCAGCAGACCGAGGTAGCTCAGTCAGCAAACACACTTGCTGCCCTGGGTGACAACCTGAGATCATTCCCAGAGACCCTCAGGGTGAAAGGAGAAGACCGACTCCCACACTTAGTCTGATGTCTTCCGCATGTGTGCCTTTTTAAACTCCCACTGACACACACATAAATAACCTTTTAAATTACCATTTTAAAAACCCAAACATACAAACAAACAAGAAAGAACTTAGGTACATGTTAGACCAATTTCTCAATAAATGCTCCAAGATCTATATGGCCCTTACAATACAGTCTTTCCCAAGATGTCAATCCATGATCGCCTGCAATGGAGACTGTTTCACAGGAGGAGTGAACAGTGCTTCTTAGATTCTCTACAATTTGGTCTTGGTTTGTGGCTTTCCACAACTTGGTGTGGTGGGCTTTGAGTCATTGACCCAGATTAGTTCTGTCTGCAGCCCTGGGAACCTTTAGGAACTGTGACTAGTCAGATCCCAGCTAACAGCTCCAGGAAGCCCCCCCCCCCACAACCCATGTGAATTCTAGTACAGTCTAGAACACACATGTGTTCTGTAACAGAAAACGGACCGAGCTTTGGAATGGAAAGCACCTACATGGAGATACCTCCTCCTTTATCATTTTAGGACAGACTCTCAGTTTCTTCATGGTCCAGTAGGGATAATCAGAGTAGCTAATCCATAGTCTCGCTGAGAGAAATCAGTGAGATTCCAGGAGTAGAGTGCACAGCAGAAAGCCTGATCTACCTGGGATTCTCTAAAAATGCAGGGATAATGAAATGGCTCAGTCATCAATCCTGCTGGTCCAGTTTGTTTTCCCAGATCTCATTTAGTGGGAAAAGAGAGAAATGACTCCACAGAGTCATCCCGTGACCTCCCGACAGCATGTGTGGCACACGCACATGCATACCTACACACACACACACACACACACACACACACACACACACACACACATACAGAATAAGTTTAAGGGTTTGGACGTCATTCAACACGTTTAGTAGATATCTTCAAACATCAGCCGGGATGGATTCCACTCATTTGAAAACAGACAAGCTCAGAGTAAACATTTTAGACATAACATTTTAGACATAAGACATAAACACCTTCATCTCACAGATGCAATGTCTGCGATTGAGAGAGGCTTCATGACTTCTTCAAGGGCATAGAGCTGAAGCAGCACTATCTAGCAATCCAGTACATGCCTCCCAGACTCCAAGTCTTCAGTCAACACACTGCTATCTGCCTCATAACGGAATGATAAGATTTCTGGCCGTGGATCTGGTGATTGCACACGTAGGCACTTCATATTGTATAATGTCTGAATTAATAACACTTGAGCATCCCCATAAGTTCTGGACACCCTGCTTACTCATACACACACATCCTGCTTTCTTATTTACGTCCCACTCTGTGCAGAAATAATTTAAGATGATCCTTGGGCATTTTATCAACAAGCCAGATGTCTGGCTGCTACCACACCCCTCTAAGGCCTGGACAGCCTAGCATTTGCTTTCTAGAAGGGAGAGAAGAAAATCGCAGAAAATGTGCACAAGTTGAGAGTCCAGAAGTGACCCGGTTTTTGTGGTATCATGTAGAACAGTGCATATATATGCCTTAGGTTAACCAGAACCACTCAAAACGCTAAGAACTACATCAGCAACTTAGTCTTGGCATTCTTGTCACGCGGGAAAGAGCAGGCACTTGACTGTGCCCTTGCCTGGGAGAAGTACAAGGGTTAATTTTCCCCCATTGTGTGCCAAAAAAATGTCTGGTTTACAGACTGGAACAAATATCGCACCTTTGTTTAAAACAGCCCATTTCCAGTTTTGTGTGGCTGTTGAGATTCCTGAGCTAGTAACAGAGGCCAGGGCAGGAAAATGGGCTGGGTTACTTACTTTGAATGTGGACACATGGGTTGTGGGAAGGAAACTATTTAAAATGGGGCTTAGGAAAAGGGGGAAGAAATCCCCTTTCCCCAGCTGAGATTTTTCCAGGATGTCGTCATACAATCTCCAAGACTGCCATGAAACAGTAAGTAGATGGCTCTCATTGGCTGTATGCAAATGATCTGAGAGCACCAGTTTCCTGGCAGAGAAAAATTTAGACCAGAGCAAGGATACAGCGTGAGCCTGACTCTCTGCAGTCCCGAAAGAACAGAGTCATTCTTGACAGGGCGATTTCAGCCCTTGACCTTCCAGGAAGTAATTCCATAACGTCATTCGGGCTGGGGTTTGACCCATCCTAAGAAATGAAGACACAAGTGTGGTGTTAAGATTTAAGTTTTCGCCCAGATTTTAAAACCAAACCCAGAGCAAAAACCATGCAAGGAGGCCGAATTTCACTGAAATGTCACTAATAATTAAGTCCAGTAGAGGGGAAGAAAAGGCCGCTGCCAGGAAATTGCAGACATAATCTGAAGCCTATTTCCTCTACATGTTACAGACAGGGGGTCCATGCCGTGTCCCAGATGTGACACCCAGATAAGGTGTCTGAGTCATTAGTACCTGCAGAGGTTAGCCATATCCTGGAGGCGTCAGGCCTTTCTGAGGTCTGCTGGCCTGTACATTTCAATGTGTTTCATTTTCTCCAAGAACAGGACAGCAGAGAAACGTCAGGAGACACAGGTTAAATGTCCGGAAATGGACCAGGGCCCCACACTATGACATCATTTTCTTGCAATGAAGGGGAGGGTGGATGACTAGAGAGGCCCGGCAGTCTCATTGAGTCCCAGAATCTGCAGAGGAAGGGCCTGCCTAACTCAACTCTTGCCTCTTCGTTAATATCCTTGGACTGAGGTCTCAGAAGAGAGAGTTGAAAGAGAGAATGGGAGAAAAGGGGGTGGGGGAGAGGAGAGCACGTGAGAGTGTGGGGAGAGAACAGAGAGGGAGCGGGACCTAGAACCTGGCCCACTGCTATTTATTGCCAGTCCTGCAGCTGGTTCAAGGGGAAGAATTAGGATTAAAAGCTGCTTCACTGTCCAACTGCCAGTCCTGGTGCAGGTACAGCCGCAGTTTTCTCAAACAACTGTCTCACTACCAGTGATAGAGGACTCGGTTGCACTGGCCTTCCTGGAGATATGTGCACAAAGGCCTCTTCACTCAGCTAGAGGGGGTAATAGCAGACAGAAGAAACGGCTCTGTATAAATCCCTGCACAACCTGCTGGAAGCCCCACAGGGCAGTCTTCTAGGCTACCACTAGCTTCCATCATCTCTAGAGCAGGGGGATCAATTTGTGCATCCTCCTGAGACCTAGAACTTTCCTGTGAGTTTCCTGGGCCACCCTCCTCCTCCTAAGAAAGGATGTTCCAGTTCAGAAAAAGCAGCTGTAAACCTTATCCTGGGCACAGGGTGGATTGGATGACCAGACTTTCCTAAGTAGCCCTGTGAGTGTGTGAATACCCTTCTGAGGGGAGGGGAGTATACTCAGAAACGTAAGTTTGAGAATTTGCCAGATTATGAGGCTTGGGCAAAATAAGCCTCCTGAGTGAGCAGCCCCAAACACATAGAGATTTTTTCCCCCCGGAACTGACAAAAAGATGTCCTAGATGCACCATCACAGGTCATAGGAGGCTTGTTGGCTCAGTGAGGTGAGCAAGAGCCCTGGCTAGGCATCAGCCTGGCCTTGTGATCTTGTATAACATGCACAAGTGTGGTGATGCTACTGGTCTCCCCAATGGTAGAGTCTGACCTGGGTTCCATCCACCTGGTCCAGCCCTGAATCAAGTCAAGGATTTAAGGGCTCTGGCCATCACATGGAGAGGCTGCATCAGAGTGCCCTGGTGTGCCACCTCTGACCAGCTAGCAGGGTTTAGAGAACGGGCTTCTGCCCTGCACCTCTGCTCATTGGCTGGGTGCTGCTTCCTGTAACTGAGTGTGTGTTCCCTTTTGTTACACTCCGTGTAGGGACTGCAAGATGACTATAGGCACACCTTTAGAACTTTCTCATTCTTCTTTGTTCTCCCCATTTTGATCCTCTTGGAAGCTAGCAGAAGCCACCAAACATTGACTATAGGTAAGACAGAAGATCACAGCTTCTTGACGCTTTAATATATATTTCAAACAAACAACTGACACTAACTTACTTTTACAGTGCCACTTCCTAGTCTCCTTGGGGTGATGCACTACAAGGACTGTCCCAGTCATGCAGATCAACCCTGCAGCAGCTGAGCCAGTTCCAGGTGGTCTATCTAATCTGGGCTTTAGGGAGTTGTTTTACAGTAACTGGGGGGACCATGCAGAGACAGACATACACTCTGTCTGGAAAAGTCACACATAGCTGAGACGTGTACCCATCCCCAGGATGGCTCAAAACCCAGTCTTCTCCTCCCTCCTCCTTCTCTCCCACTCTCCTGGCGGGGGAAGGGGGGTGTCGTCGTCTTTAAACGAACCACTGTCCCAAAGATCTACTGAAAGCTCTAGCTGTTGTATGGCCAGGAAGCACAGCAAATCTAGAGAGACAGAACGTCACTTAAATGCCCACAATTACTGAGGTTTTTTTTTCTGCCAAATTGGCATTCTTATGCTCTCGGATCACTCCCTTAAAGCAGTTTTGATTCTTTACAGTTAACTCTATAGGGAAGGGGAATTTATTTTACACTGGTGTATTTGATCACAAAATCTGGGCCTTGTATTTTTCACCATTTGAATAACCCTCATGCTTGTCCGCACATGTTTAAAGTGTTGTTTAACTTAAATACACAGATCAGACTCATTGCAGACTACCCTTTCACCTTGCTCTGGGCAAGGGGGAAGATCAAAGCTGCCTGGGTTTTTCCAGGATGACCCCTGCTTTGTTCCTAATGCTTAGCCCATCTCCTGTTTGTAGAAGCTCCTACAAAATCTCCTTGTTTGTCTCTTCTATAACTCTCCTTCTTACAAACAAGACCCTGCTGCTCATTTGGCATCCCAGGGACAGGGGATTCATCCCCATGAGTAGAGTCTTTGCTTTCAGACTTTTAAAACTCACAGTGTTAAAGCAGTGAAAAGTATGTAGGGCTTGGCAGGTGACAAGAGGAACTGGAAATGACTACATCCTAATATGTCTGATGCCGAACAATGAAAAGCAGCCAACCTGTTATGAATTCTGCCTTGAAATACCCACATGGCTAACATTTTTAAAAAGTGACCCCGGCTTATTAAGTCATTAATTCCTTTCAGATAGGAGGAGACTAGAAAGTAAATAGTGATAACTGATTTCGCTTAGTCCATAAATTATTATTGATTAATAATAATAAGAGTACCCGACTGTATATGCTTTATATGTCACAATGATTTGGAAAAGTAAATCTTCCAACCCAGGAGCCAACAAGAGGCTCAGTGGGGAAGGGTGCTTTCCACTAAGCCTAATGACCCATGTTCCATCCCTGGGACACACCTCCTAGTGGCAAAAAGTCCTCTGACCGCCACACCTGCTGTGCTATGTGCCCATATATGCACACGGCACACACACAAATAAAGAATTGTAAAAACAGCAATAACAGCAAACTCCAGCCCACAAAACAGAGATGACATAGAAGATAGACCATTAAGAAGTTTGAACAAGTCAAGTTACGCATCAACAAAAGGAATGAAACATCAAACCCTTTCAGAGGGAGGATCCTCTGTTTTCCCACATATGAAACAATGGAGCCAAAATTAGCTGTCGTGTCCAGGATCCTGGGACTTAAAATACATGTGCTAGTGTAAAAACGTTAAGCTCTCACATGCTTTGTTTGGCAAATTTCATGAAAAAGATAAGCTCAATGGAATTATGACTTCAGACAGGGAAATGGATGCTATCACAGAGCAAGGAAACAACAAGAAGAAAAACCACCAAGCTTGGCCACAGATATGAAAGAATGTCTATTTGCAACAGGCAGCCTGGACAGGAGGGAGATCAGGCTGAGAGCACCTCGCTCAGGCCAATCAATCAACAAGGATTTAATTTGACTCAGGTTACTTTATTTGTCAAGGGACTCTTAAGGGGGCGCCTGAGATAACAAGGCTGAGGATTATATGCCCCGCCGAGTGTAGTAGATTGCAAAAATATCCTAGCGACTAGCTCTGTAAGACTAGGGAGGGAAAAGGCCTGGGTAACCAGAGAGGGCTTAGGAAATATTCAAAGAATGCTCTGAGGTTGAGCTGAAACAGAGGGGCCTGGCTGGGGACTGTAAAGAAAGGGCAGTTGCAAGCAGACGGAGAATAAAAACCAAAATGGATTTATCCTCTTTAAGTAGACTACACAGCCAGCACTTGGGAGCGGACATGGGACATCACGGCTACAAAAAAAGCACTTTGACCATGAACCAAACAATAAGCTGTAGATGTCCTCAAAATATAAAGATGCCTTGGTCTTCAAGATTTCCCACCACACTGGATTCTCCGGCAGAGGAATATAAGGGAAGCACACGGTACTTCCCCAGGCTGGGTTCTCCGGCGACGTGAAAACCAGCAAGTGCAGTGTGCCGCTCTTGTTGCCATGCCTGCCAGGAAGCTGAAACAGAACTGAGCCGGAATTCTGGGAGTCAAAAACCCGACTCTTACTGTTCTTTATTTCCGCCTTTATCTCCCATTCCCATCGGCCATTACAAGCTGCCTCCTTCTTTCATCGTTTTCAAGGATATTGAATCCTCTGGGTCAGGCACACCGGAACCTTTTGGAGGGCAGATGAGTAAGTGTGGAACGCAAGCAGGAGGTCTGAGCTTTTAATATTAGCTCTGCCTGTGACTCATGCTGTGTTTAGGTCTTGAGGCTTGATGTTTATTCTTGGGATATAGCTCAGGCATTTTCCAGATGAGGAAGGGCTTTGGGGCATCTAGCTGGCTTTTCCTAATAACTCACACAGTCGTCCTCATCTTGTTTAAGTATGGCTTACTCCTCTGAGGGTCTTTGATCCCCTGGCTGCAGACACTCTGGCACCAGGGAGCCTTAAAGGTCAAGGAGCGAAGATACACACAGAGGTGGGTGAAAGCGGGGGACACTTGTTAGCAACCTCTGAGAACCTGTGGGGTGAACACTGGCTTCTAAGATGGATGGGTGGTGTCGTCCACAGTATGAATAACTGTACTCACTAAGCTGGGGCAGGAACGCAGCAGGTGTGTCCTGGAATGCGACTGTTTGCAAGAGGGCTGTTAAACCCTGTTTCCTTTAATCCACGTGGACTGTCAGTATTCAACACCATGAAGTCCAAGAGCAACAATGCGTACTCGAGCCTCAGTCTCCTCGTCTGGACCCATTCATCTCCTGAGGCTTCTTGCAGCTTCTTTTGTTTTCTAAATGATTTATTTACTTGTGTTGGTGCCCTGTGTAAGGGTGTTAGATCTCCTGGAACTGGTGTTACAGACAGTTGTGAGCTGCCATATAGATACTTGGAACCCAGGTCCTCTGAAAGAGCAGCCAGTGCTTTAACTGCTGAGCCATCTCTCCAGTCCCTCCATGCAGTTTTAATTGCTGTGATGTTTTTTGTTTGTTTTCTAATTTATCAAATTCTCCTTACAGTCATTTGGCTCTACAGAGTACATAGAAGAACAACTTTTGCAGTCTCTTCCAGTACGGTGTGAAACAACACACAGACACAGTGGAAAACTATGCATAAACGGAAATACTGATTGACAAGGTGTCTATTCACGGAAGGCACTAAGTTATGCTAAGGACCTGCTAGTTACATGTGATGGTTGGCTTTACTTGTCAATTAGACCATTTAGAATCACTTGGAAACAGAGTCTCGTTAGATCAGGTTGACCTGTGAGCTTGTCTGTGGGAGGTTGTCTTTATGACATTCATTGACGTGGAAAGACCCAGCCCACCTTGGGTGGCACCTCCCTGGGTTTGGGTTCTGAGCTGTATGAGAGTGGAGGAGGCGAACTGAGTACTGAGTATGCATGCGTTGGTTTCTCTCTGCTCTTGACTGTGGATGTGACTAGCTAGTTACAGCTTCTGCCAGCCTCAGCTTCCTGCTGTGATGGGTTTGTGATTTAACCTGTTTTCTCCCAAGTTGCTTTTTGTTGAAATATTTAATCACAGTGGCGAAAATGAGTCTCCATTACAGCATGTCCAAATACTTGACAAACTGTTTATGCTTGGTGGTCTTTGCTTGTTTGTTTTAGATACAGTTGTAAGAAGTCACACAGGGAGGGATCCTGTGTGTTCTGTACCAAATTCCCCTCAACGATGCCATCTTGCAAAACCATAGCACAAATTCACAACCAGGTCTTAAACTTTGACAGTCAAGATGAAGACTGTGTGAGCCAAGGTCGGGATCCCTCCTGTTGTCCTTCTGTGGTCTCACTCTCCATCCTTAATCCCTGGAAATTCCTGGAAACCACGTACCCAGTCCCAATTCTTATGACTTTTTCATTTCATGAATTTTATATAAATATAATGGCACAGGTCATAAATGTGTAGAATAAGCTTTTATACTCTCAGCATCATTTGGTTTATTTATCTATTCATTTACTTATTTTTGAGACAGAGTCTCCAGTAGCTCATGCTGACCTCAAACTCACTGTGTAACTGAGAATTAACTTGAACTTTTTAATCTTCCTGCCTCTACCTCCTGAGTGCTAGTATAACAGGTGTACAAACCATACCTGGCTTCTGCAGTGTAAGAAACCAGTCTAGAGCTCTTCATGTGGTATGCAAGCCCTCAACCAGTGGAGCTATAGCCCTAGCCATCAAATATGTATGTATCTTCTGAAGTGAGCAACTGCGACAAAGCAATTAAACAGAATGAAAAAATGGTCTCTAAATGAAACGAGATTAGTGAATACAGACAGTGAAAAGGGAGCGTTGACTTCCAAGACCAGAGAGCAGAGCTATCCTGTCTCTTTGGGACATTCACCTGTGAGAAGCTGTGTCACAGACCAGACAACTGGAGGCTAACAGCTGGAGAGACCACCACAAGGGTCATGCAATAGCCAGGCACTCTGGTTGACAGATGAATTCATCCCTGGCTCTGAGGACGAGTGAAGTTATCCTGAGCCCTTGAGCCCAGCTCATCTTCCGGCTGTATACCTAAGTGACATCCGGTATGGTCCCCAAGAAGCTAAAGAATCGCCCAGCTGAGACCTATGTGGGAATTTGACCCACTGAATCTGGTGGTATGATAAACATGATTGTTCTTTTAGGTCAACAGATTTGGTGGGATAGTTACATAGCCACAGCAGCCTGGACATCAGCTAAATTCGAGACAGAGCCTACTGGTAAACGCTGAGGAAACCAATCCACAGAGATTCTCTCATCTGCCAATGCCAACACTGGAAGCCAGAGGGAAAGACTCAACTCTCTGACCCCCAAGTCTCTGCCCTTTCCTGGCTAATGAATGATAAGAAACTAAGAAAACATCTGCAGAGCCAGCTGTGGTGCACACCTGTAACCCCAGAACTTGGAAGGCCGAAACAGGGAGGTCATGAATGTGAAGTCAGTGTGCACTACGCAGTGAAATCCTGTCTCAAAGAAAACCAGAAGAGAGAAGGAGGAAGGAGATGAGGAGAGGCAGGAAGAGAAAGGAGGTGATGGGAAGGAGGAGGAGGAGGAGGAGGAGGAGGAGGAGGAGGAGGAGGAGGAGGAGGAGGAGGAGGAGGAGGAGGTAAAGAAAGAAAGGACTTTTAATGCAGGGTCCAAACACTGGCTCTTTGACATGCTACATTTTTATTTCCATTGAATGAAAGCTGAATTAGCCAAAGGCCTTAACATATAAACAAAAAGTAGACTGGGTGACCTTACATGTGTGGAGCTTACAAACGCAGCACATAATTGGGCTATTTGAATGCAACCAGCTCCCAATTAGAGAAAGCAACGTGCTCAAGTTCATAAAACAAGACCGAGTCGTGAGTCTCAAGATTTGAAGGCTGTCTGTGCCTAGCGCATCGAAAGGTCTTTCCTGCTGTAAGAACAAAACCTGGCCTCTATTAATATCAAGGCTGGCCTCCTTGGAACACTTGCTTCCTGGTGATTTATGGTGGCCAGGCTGCTTCCTGCCCCTTTTGAAAGTTAGATTTCAACCTAGGAGGAATTCTAAGCAATTCCTCATCCCTTGGCCCCAGGGCAATCTTTTAGAGAGAGTTTGGGTATTTACAACTCACAAATTGATCTTGCTTGATAGTTCACAAAGGAGAAGAGAAAGGGGGGCTTGTTGTTCTGTTTGATGCCAACTGGGACTTGATCCAAACACAAGTAAGAAAGTCTAGAGCAGGCAGTGTGTGTGGGAACATATCCTCCCTGACCTCCCAGTTACAGTATGAAGATGGAAACTTTTTCCTTTAAAAAGATCAAAGATAATATCCTTTTGTCAACGACAATGACATTTTGCTTCTAAAATAATTCCATTTGAGGAAAACAACTAAATAATCCAAGTCACATACTGCCCAAAGTTATATCTCAAAGAAAACAGCGTAAGGGACTCAAAAGCTGCTGTTCACCCTGTTGCAACATTTTTGCTACTCACACAACAATTTAGTTAAGGAAGGGCTGCACTCCATCTGTTATGAACATTGTTTGCATCAGCACAGGCTCTGGTGGCTTTGGGAAATAGTTGCCAGGGCTTGACAGTTCACCTGTGATGTGGACAGTTCTCGGTATCCACAACTTGAAACGACGCTGTAGAAATGGAAGGACGAGAGACTACGAGGATGCAACTCAGTTGGTAGAGCGCTTGCTTGGCTTACCCAAAGCCTGTCTTGGTGGTCTATTGCTGTGAAGAGACACCATGACCACAGTAACTCTTGTGGAGAAGAGCCATTTAATTGGAGCTGGCTTACAGTTCAGAGGTTAGTCCATTATTGTTGTGGTAGGAATCATGGCAACATGCTGGCAGACATGGTGCTGCGGAAGGAGCTGTGAGTTCTATGTCTGGATCAGCAGGGAGAGAGAATGAGACACTGGGCCCGGCTTGAGCTTCTGAAACCTCAAAGCCCACCCCTAGTGACACACTTTTGCCAGCAAGGCCATGCCTACTAGAACAAGGTCATGTGTTCTAATTCTTTCAAATAATGCCACTCCCTATGAGCCTATGGGGGCCACTTTCATCCAAACCTTCACAAGGCCCCAGATTCAATCCTTAGCACTGCACACCCGGTATGTGGTAGTACATGCCTGTAATCCCAACACCGGAGGCAGAGGAAGAGGGTTAGGAATTTTATCCTTAGCTACTAACCTGGGCTACATGAGACCCTGACTCAAAACAATTTAGTTTAAGAGTAGATTGCTAGTTCAAGCTCATTTTTGTAAGAAGGGAAATGAACTGGCTTCCATAATGAAGAAGTCCAAACTGAGGTCTTACACGCTTTGAACATGGTGAGGAGCAAAGACACTTGCTCCTATGCTCCTATCCCTTCTTCATTCTACTTCCTAGACACTGACCTCCTCCCACCTCCCCATGATCTGGCCTCTAGTACCACTTCTGAACTAGAATGGCTTTCTCAAAGGTCATCTGTTACCTTACCAGCCAATCCAAAGGTGCCATTTAAGTCATGCCTGTGCAATGCAGCGCTGTGGCAGATGCTGCTCACTGCTCCCCATGGCTTGTTCAGCCTGATTCCTTGTAGTATCCAGGACTACCAGCTCAGGGATGGCACCACCACGAGGCTGGGTGCTCATGGGCCCATTTAGTGAAAACATTTTCTCAACTGAAGTTCCTTCTTTCAAAATGACTCAAGCTTGTGTCTAGTTAAC